GGGGGAGAATGCGGCCCTCCGGCCCCTGCCCTTCGCTGTCTCCCCGAGCGCTCCGATCCCCATTGTCCGCGGGCCCCGCACGCAGGCGCGGGGGAAGGGGGATGGAGCGGGGGGGGTGGTTGTTTTCGCGCAGCCGGGACAGGGTGAGGGCTCGCCCTGGGGAGGGACAGGACGGGCTCTGTGCGTACGCTCCTGGCAGCCCTTTTTTCTTCCTCCTTCTCCTTCTCCTCCTCTGCCCGACCCTTACCACCCCTCGCGCCGTCCGCGTAATAAATAATCTCTGGCCCAAAACGGGTTGGGAGGAGGAGAGGTGGTTGGTGTAGCTGCCGCGGGCCTGAGCAGCTGTGAGAGGACGGGGACAAGAGAGAAGGTTCCAGCCTCGAGATCCAGGCCGGGGGGTGCTGGTACAGGCAAGGTGAGAGCAGCACTTGTCCCCCGCTGCGGCTCAGCGCTCTGCCTCCCCCCGCCCCCATGACGGCTCTGCGTTTGCTTTCTGCCTTTGAGGAAATGCAGTGAGAAGGGGAGCCTGCGTTTTGGGGGATTTGTTTGGGCTTGGTTTGTTTTTCTTGCTGTCGAGCTTTTACAACCAGAGGGGCTTGTGGGGTCTGCGTCTTCTAGGCCGAGACATCGTTGAGGAGTACGTGAGACAACATTTTGTTTTGTTTCAAGGAAAAACCGTGGGCTAAGGAGTGGGGGAGGTGGTGCGGCTGCAGCGAGCGGGATACTTTGTTTACATAAATAAAGTGTGTGAAATGCGCGATAACTTCACTTTTCGCCCGTAAGCCAGGGTGAATCGGTCGGGGAGCATTCCTGGCGGCAGCCGCCGGGGGAAAAGGAGGCTGCCTGTGTCCCCAGCTTTGCCATAAACACACATTCTCTCTCGGTTTATGTTGTGGTCTCTGTTTTGGCTGGGAGAAGAGTAAGGGGAGGAGCAGGAACTGGCTCCAGGGCTGCCACCTCCTCCCGTCTGTTTTCTTTGTTGTTATCTGCTCGAGGAGGCGTCCTGGGGTCATGTCTGTAGCTGAGCTGCGGTCTGCGGTGTTAATGGGATTCCTCTTGGGCCCGAAACCTCGGGCCACCTTCTGCAGTGCATGTGCGGGTCTCGTCTCTCCTCCGTCCGCCGTCCTCCCCCCTGCCTCGGCAGTTAATCAGCGGCTCCCTCTGAAGTTGCAGGAAGGGGAAGGGAGGGCAGAGGGGGAAGGAATCTTGGCATTTATTTGATACTCGGTCAGCCGCCTGCTTTGTGCAGCTCTGTCATATAAAAAAATAAACACAAAAAACGCCCCCAAAAATACTCAGAACCAAATCAACAACAACAAAAGTGGAAAAAAACACCTAAGGTGGAAGAGTGAGGGGGTATCTGAAAACAAATTCTTCATGAAACTACTAAACTTCTCCAGTGTGTGGAAAATACTTGTGTCCTTGCAGTACTTGTCAGTGCCAACATAGTTAATTCTTCTATGGGGTATTTTACTCCTGTCAAGTAATAAGTCAAGTTCAGTTGAGCCATAGCCTTTAGCAAGAAGGTAAGGTTTTTTCTCATAAACAGCAGCAAACGTTGAGAAACACACAAAAAATACCCAGAATAAGGCTAGTCAGCACTTCAGCAAATTAATGAAGATACCCAATTCCTCTTGACCCTATGACATCTGTGTTACAGAGAATGCTTTTTAAGATGCAAGACACAAAACATCCAGTGCTTAGAGTTAGTAAATTACAATA